ACGCCTAAACAAACATAAGATACCGATGAGAGCATATTTTCCTGCTAATTACCAAGTCAAACGCAGGAAAATACTATTTCCTGAATGTCACCCGTTCGTAAATTATAATCACCCTGAACAATTATGTCACCCTTTTGTGAAAATGAAAACATTTCTTCTTCTAACTCCCCAATTAAATCTTCGCTGCTATTTGTTTCATAGTTTGGTGGGGTTAAATAAACTGTTTCTAGGTATATATCCTTTTGAAAGTTGAAGTAAGTTTTATCAAGTTTACACCATATTATGTTTTTTTTTTCAGACGGGGTGTAGGTGACTCGTTTAGCTAGTTTTTGATTTATATATACGGACCATTATGGCTCTTGATACGGATAGTCCTCCCGAAGATCGGTTACCCGATTGACACTTAATAAGATATTTGAATTTACTTATATTCATCTCTGTTTCCTAAGTTGCATGTGTTTCCACAAGTGCAAAAATGTCATGTTTGTTAATTATACTTAAGAAATCGTCTGTTTTTAGTTTATATCCAAGAATAGTGCTGTTAAAACCATTCAAATTCCAGAAACCTGTTTGCAAATGACATGACACACGGAATAGGAAAAGAAAATGGAAAGGGATTCACTTATCTCATTAACATCTCGCTCTCTCTTAAATACTCTGCAATTAGGTTGAGAGCTTGTAATGGTTGATTATTGTGATAGTTCCTTCTTCGGCGTTCGTTATAGGGCTGTTCTCTCTGAGGGCCGACTGACTTGACTTGACTTGACCGACTTGAGTCCTTGTCAAGCTTTCGAGGTTTCTGCCCTTTAGTCCTAGGTGGTGTTTGATGTTTGATGTTACTCTTCGATGAGAGTCGCACCTAGATCTGTGCATATGCTTTCGTAGTGACAGTTGATTTCATCAATAAGCTGACTTTTACTGTTATCCCGTGGGACGTAGGTCAATCCTGAAATTGCTATCGTACCATTCGGACATCTATGCTTTAAATTGACGAGGCAGTTTTCCATGTTTGTTCTGATTTCATTTGCGGTCAGTTTGCCAACATCATTTGTTATTTTGTTTGAAATAAGCCCCCCCCCCCCAATTAATAGAGATTAATAGAGGATTTACGGTATGCATACTTTTTCAACGACCGTTGAAGCCATTTAGCTTTAATGCCATTGGAGATCAAACGATTCTCAATTGATTTATTATTTGGGGCAATTCTCACAAATGGACAAGATGTTTATGAAGTGATATAACAACTCTCATGATCTTCCTAGTTGGTACGGCTGATGTGAAGTAACAAAATGTTACAGATTCGGTTCAAAAATATATATAATGGTATATACATGTAGTAATTACAATAGCATTTGATATATTACAAATTTTAGTTTACCTGAAAATTTTAACTGAAACAATTTAGCTTGCTAAAGGGATCTTGTTTCTAACAAAATTCTGTGTCCATAAAACATATTAAAGAACAATAACGCTAACAGGACTATAACTAACAGAAAAAAAATAGAAGTCAAGACATCGCTTTCCTCTGTTGACTGCGTGATATTTAAAGTCGTGTCGTGCATATGCATCATTACTTAGTCGTTTTTAAATAAATTTAAACTATGTCCGACTTTTTGTTGCTTACAATTGACCCTTCCACGCTTTTTTCAACTTTTGACCAGCTTTGTTGCCAATTTTGAATGTAAAATCTTCGCAAAGTTGCGAAACTTATAGACGTTCAGGGTCATTATGCGTTTCTGAGAAACTGCCCACCTACCCCTCCCCTAAGCCAACATTTTGCCCCAAGTAAGAAGAAAGTGTTGATGTTGGCTTAGGGGAGGGGTAGGTAGGCGGTTTCCCAGAAATGTGGGGGGAGAGTTCCCCATGTGACCATTCACCATTTTCACATGGATCATAACGCACCCTGTCTTTCTCTTGGGACGACTGTAATAGGAGAAATTGAAAACAATGGTTATGCAGAATTCTGGGGGTAAACAAGGAGCATTATGGTCTCTATGTAAAAGTAGTGAGTACACCTGACCATATAAACGTGGGTAAAATCTTGCGACTTTGCTACGCTATATCTTCGCTCACTTCACACTCAAACTTGACAGTGTTATTAATCTTAAGGTGCTTATTCCAGCAGTTTCGATGGATTTTCGCTTCAGACTGTTCCACTGATGTCTAAGCTTGGAAAAAAAGGGGAGGGGTCAACATTTTAATTTCTAGAAGTAGAACAGTGTGGTTTGGAGAAGACACAATTATTTGAGGCCTCCATGATTTATCAGGCTGTCGTTTGAGGTCTGAATGTCTCAGACGTCTTGAGGACAGTTCTTGAAAAAAGGAAGTCTTATCTGTCTTGTAGTTTTTCTGTTGTGTCGTCAGTAGAGCCACTAGTATCAGCTCGTGTTCACACTAAGTCTCTCTATCTCCATCACCACGCCGTTGTCGATGGTGTCATTCCTTGACAATGTATGCTCATTAGAACCTATTGACTCTATGGAATCGTGACGGTTGTGGGTTACTTGGTCTACACTGAGTCTTGTCATGTCCACAATGACTCCGTTATCTATACTTGCATTTCCCACGACTGATTGTACAGACTGTTGCCTGACTGTTGGGCTGCTCATTGCCATATCGTAAGACGGTAAGAAAGGAAAATCGTTTTCCCCTTGCATTACGGGGTCCGCCCTTACTGAGCGAGATCTACAAGGCAAAATGAAATTGCAGTGGTGAATAGGTTATTTCGTAGTAATTTAAGTGCCCTTTGTTTGTAGTGACCTGGTGAATTTAGAAGCGGGACAGCAGCATCTGCTTTGATGAAGACTACTATTTCTAGACTCAAAAAAGTGCAACTTAGTTTGGAAATAAAGTGGAGGAAATTGGATATTTATTAACAACAAGTGTGTTGCACCAGAAACTCATAAGGGGTTGAAACGTGTAACTCTCATATGTTTGCTTTGTCCGATGCTCGTGATTATTCATTTTCGAAAGTACCATATTTGGAACGAGAAGAAAAGATAACTGACCAATCAAACTCCCGAAAGCTGAGTGAGCTTTCAAAGGTTGAAACCAGAAAGCTTGTCGAAATACTGAGCATACTCATTATTACTATTACTATTATTATTATAATTATTATAATTATTATTGTTATTAAAATTATTTGCTTCATCAACATCACCATCACTAGCATCATCATCATTATCAACATCAACATGGTCATAGTCATCAATATCCGCATCATTATCGCGATCATCATTACTACCCGTGATCAGCTGGAAGTAATTTCCACTCCTATCTACAGTAGAATTAACGGGTTTCATCCATATTCTCAGGGTTTTGCGTTGCTCCCTTCCAACAGCCTATGTGTATTAAAGATGGTTGATTTAGCTGCGTACGTGACCACGGTAACCACGGTCAAATCTAACCATATATAGTCAGTTCTCTCTAAGACGGAGACCTTTGGGACCAGCACTAAGTACAGTGTCCATCTTAGAGAGATGTCCTTCTTATAGAGAGTCAAATAAAGGAAGTAAGGAAAAACAGGGTCCAACTCAGGGGAAGATTCGGGGAGGGGGTGCAGGGAGTGGGTACCCCCTCTCCCTGAGATGGCCTGCGGCTTTCTAATACAACTGATATTCTGCAAAATGTGCAGATATGTATGATATGTATTCTCAGCAGTTCACATAATGTTATTGCCAACCAAAAGCCTTCTCCTTCGTATTCGCTTTTAAATTTGTTTACGTCACCAATCAGGTACGCTATTCCTTAGTTTTGCACCACCCCCCCACCCCCAAGAAATCGTAGATCCGCCCCTGACCAACTCTGGGTGTACAGCTTGAGGTGACCCAGAGGTACCCGTCTTATAGAGGTTTCTGTTACGAGTGCGTCGACTGTAATATATTAGACTCAGCATTAGGGGTGTTATTAGTCAACCAGTAAAGAACCCTTACCCGTACACAGCGTCCCACGCTTTGCAAGCAAACAGCATGAACACAATGACCTGAACGGCAAACACTACGCCAAACACGATCAAAATAGTAAAAGCAACTGAAGTGAAAAACAAAAGTTAGTCAATAGGTACATAACTGTAGCCGGATTTTTAAAACGTTATCGCCAATTGGACCTTTTGCGAACAACAGTTTTTTTTCCGGGCTATTTGGACCAGATAAGCTCAAAAATCACACTAACGAAGAGGAGGAAAAGAGAAAAAGAAAGAGCTAGGAGGAAGAAAGGAGGAGAAGAGAAAAAAGCAATGGCTGCACCCTTAATTTTCATAATGGCTACTTTGGACGCAAAAGGTCCATTTGGCGGTGACGTTTTCAAAAATCCGGCTAGATATATGTATGAGAAGTTAGAGCTCAAGAACTGGGTTTAACAAAGATTGCTATACTTCCGATAATAGCTCACATTTGCTACACATAGACCCAAGTGAATACAAGAAGGTTAGAAGAGACCTATCATCATTATCATCACAATCACTATGACATCTTTACCACCGTCAACCCCCACCGTCACAAATTGCTTCGCCCCATCCCCGTAAGTTAATCCATATTTCGGAATCCGGGAAATTTTTGTTTATGGAATCCAGAATCCTGGGCTTTGGAATCCGGAATTACGCAATCCGGAATCCAAGTTCCACTGGCAAGGAATCCCGACGCTGGAATGACAAGCATGGAATCCAGTATCCAAGATACATCCTACAAGAGCCGAATTGTTGTTTTCAATCATAGTTCCAAGTACAGCTTAGACATGCCAGATACCTATTGAACCCACCTAGCTGAGGGATTACATAAATCTGAGTGTTTACACTGATGGCCAGTTACTTCAAGTATTTTTTAAACTTTAATGTACACTTACTTGTTTGGCTGCTGTTTTCAGTACCATCTGAATGTGCCACATAATCTTTAATTATAAAAAGTAAAAAAAAAAAAACAAACTAAACTTAAATGAAGGGCACTACGTTATATAAAGAAAATTCAAGACGAAGTCGGTGATTATTGTCTAACAATGACAGAATGAATATGCCGGGATAAATAACTATTTGTGCAGATATGAAATTTTGCTTCTATTAAAAACCAAAATTTGTTCGACAAGAATTAAATCTGGACTAAACTTAAAGTAATCTCCCGACCGCTTGCACTACATATTTCAGAACAAAATATGCATTATATTAATTTGTAAAGTATATAGTACGACATAGCTTCATAATACATATAAATGTATATTTCCGCCAATAAATTGGCCTCAAGACTGGCTAAAACGAATCAAACTAAAACTTTTTTTGATAAATCTTTCATTGTCGCACAACTGTTACATTGGTTAGAATTATGTGTTCTTTGCCTCGTCATAAATGGTCTGCCGTTTTCATCCTGGGCTATAAAAGACTCAGTCATCTAGACGAATTTGACGTCCGAGACATTGAAGTCATCTGCATGGTGTAAAAAACGGACGCATGAAATTAATTAAAAGCAGAGTTTTCTGAAAAGAGAACGAGTTGAGCATAAATGTGCTCCAATGTACAGCTTCCCATTTTTGTGACTAGACGCATTTTTAAAAACGCCTGAGAGGTTTAAGTCGTCTGTCAAGTGGGTCTGAACGACGCTCTTAACAGAAGACGTTAGTACTGTGGTCACACGCTAAATACCTCTGTCTGGTTTACCATGTTTATACTACATGTACACGACTACTACACGTTAAAGATGTCTTAAAGTTCTGAAACTTACTTAGTATAACAGTTTTGGTAGTCTCTAAGAGTATTTTAGTGGAGCTGATATTTAGGGCCAGAACATACGCCAAACAGGGTCAGTATTTCGTGATAACCCCGATTTCAGATTCATGAACTGCTCTTTTTTAGGATGCTGAACTACTTACCGGCGCGAACTTTGGAGCAAATCAACACCAACAAAACTGCACGGATTTCACATGAAACATCCATTAGACCGGCAAAGAAGAAAGTGCGACACGCTGCACCGATTTATTATAATAATCATCACACGAGCCAAATGAAAATTAGGCAATTTTCTCACAAATCACGTCGTAATCGCATCTAACTCGCAGGACACAAGTTAAGTTTGTACTATATTTTTGTTCGTGTAATTTACTCAACTTTTAATTTATGCGTGATTTTGTTTTGGTTCGCTGCGTGGTCCATATAATAAATATTATATAATAATTATTCACGAACCACGAGGACAGCACGCAAATATGTTTTACCCTATGAGAGCTTTTGTTTGTGTGAGTAAGAACAGCTCGCCTGGAAACTGCTTACTAATTTTCTTAAGAGGAGGTTCCTTATGAAAGAATTCATTCATATTTCGTTTCCTGCTACAGCCTTGTAGTTTTCACTGAGTCATATGCCGTGTGCATGGTTTGACACTGTAGTTTATCCCGCAGTATCCAATATAATTAATATTGCCCGTGTAACGGACTTTGATACCAAATGAATACCACGCACGAGGCAGTTATGTTTTCTTTTACGTCATTATCGATTCTTTCATTGAAAGAAGGTGCCATTTATTTTGGCTCAGCCAAGCGAGACAGGGACCTAATCCTTTTTCTTTGTTCCTCCTTTTCTGTCTCGTCTCTAGTCCCTCGCGATTATAGGAACATTTTTGTGAATAATTTAGGAAAGTGGCTCCGGAGGTAGAGACGTATTTTTCTTTCCCAGCCCCTTCCCGTTCGCGCTCTGCGCTCAGTTCCATATCCCTACACGAGTTCCTCGCTTGTCCCCAGTCCACGCTCCCGGCTCAGCCTCTCGGAAACCCGTGCAGGACACAGCTTCCGGTTTAGAGGATGGGTTTGTGACTACACGAAAGTCGGGCGAGAATAAGACTATGAAATATTTACACTGCTATGTACGGACGTGCGGTTATAGTTTCATCTCACAACCTGACTCAGGCTACATAGCCGGCTACTTCATCCTCCCACGATGGCGTTTTCGAGGGAGGCTAGTTTTAATTGGGACATTAGCGGAAACGAAAGCGAGCGTCTAAGTCAAGTCAAGTCAAGTCAATCTTTATTTAAACACGGTAAAATCCATCAGGAATTTAAAAAATTAAAAATAACCTAACTATCCTAAACAAAATTCAAAACCTGACTACAACTAATCTAACTAAAACCTGTTTTTCATGAATGCCGTGTATAACATTAAAAATGAACATTAACTAATCTTTTAAATTGACTAAGAGATTCGGCTTCCCTCACATGACAGGGTAGGCTGTTCCAGAGAACTGTTCCGCTATAAGTAAAGCTGTTTTTCATGAAATTAGTTCGCGGAAATGGGACAAATAGTTTGTTAACAGAGTCCCTCAGGGAGTAACGCGTTTCATTTCGTTTAACAAACTTAGATGATAAATATTCAGGAACAAGGCCATTTAAAGACTTGTATACCATTATGGATTTCTGTATTTGAAATTGAGTGCTCAGTTCTCGCCATGGTTATATTTTCTCACACCCGCTTTTCTGCTTGTTGCCGTCTCACCGAGAGCCTGAAATGGAATCGTTATCTTGACAAAAATTTGTTTATTCAATGTTGTCATCTTAAGCGTTTGCGTCGATCTCTCCTGTGAATGGTTGCTGAAACGAAATCAGGTTCTTTCAAATGCCGATCAAAGTTTAGATCTAGGTAAAGACTAATGAAACTGAATGCTCCAATGCAAAGCAAGTAAGCAAATTTTATAGACAAAATGTATATACCCACTATAAGAATAATCGGCGTAAGGAGCGTAGCTGTTAGCTGTAAAGAATTTAACCCAGTGTTCAAGGGCTGATTTAACTCGACGTTTGTGGAATTACGTCGAAAAACGCTGTGTGAGAATTGTCGAAAATTTAACTCTCATCTAATGTTTTTGCTTTGAAACACTGATAGATCCAGAAATTAAACAATAACTGAGGGCTGAAATTTTAGCTGATAGCTGGGAAGCTGCCAAGGCCTCATCTGGTACCTAGATCTCCCACAAAGTGAGATATGGGTACAGGAGTACCCTAAATGATCCGGATCGTCTGCCGGGCGCGCATGGCCTGAAATCGCGGACGCGGCGCCCGCGTAACGACAGCTGTTTTCTCATATTTTAGAGACAAACATGGCGATTTCGTTTACAAAGCCACGGAGCGAAACTTGTATTTAAGAATAGGAAAAGTTCTCGCCTTCCTGTAAAATTTGCCGCCCTTGCATCCACCAGTAGAAAGTATCCGTTATCAAACTGTACGAGTCTTTCTTTGGTTAACACTGCCCTTTTTGAAGTTGATTTTAGCTGTGATCTCACTCTCTTAATCTCACTATTTTATGTGGTAAATTTCTTAAATCGGCTCTTACCACCGCTGGCCGCCGCGTTTACGTCCGATTTTTGAGTTTGCTGCCCTCATCCCTGAAAGTCGATAAAGTGGCCGATAAAATACTGCAATTTTCAGCTAAATTTAAAACCATTAACATGATCCTTTTTTGCGATGAAAACACGGCCCACACACAATCCAGCATTCACGCCAAAATCCCCAAAATCCACAGTCTTTACACAGCGATATTTCGGCCTTCCTTTGCTTAATTTTGCTCCAACATCCATGGTTCGAAAGCTTGCTTCATCAAAAATCTTTCGTCTTGCTTGTTTTGGCAATACTTTCAATCAGCTTTTATTTGGTACAAAACAACTAGGTATTCTACCATTCGATTTGTTTTAAAATATGAACCCAATTGGTTTGACGCAGACCGCGGCTTCGGCCGGATGGTGTCACAGACCGCCCAAGACCGTTACAGATTACAGGACCGTAACAGAAAACCAGGCTGTAAGTAAAAAATAAAGTGAGGGAAATGCGGATTATTCGCGAAACAACCTACGATTTCGTCGGACCATGCAAAGTTGAAGATTGTAAACGCCACATCCTGACCAACATAGACTTATTTGATCGTTTTACAACTTTATTTGTAAAAGGTCGTTATGCAGTGAGCTGGAAATCATATTAATTATATTTCTGTTTACAGTAACAGTCTTTAAATGAAAAAATATGATCAGCGCAATTATAGAAGCAACGTTTGCAGTTGTGAAAAGAAAGCCTGAAATAATTCAGGCTTTTTGCACCCAAATGCGATAATCTTCTCTACTATCAACTATCATTATCAGTAAGCAAGTAAGCAAACACTGACATCGTACACGTTGTGAGTGATCTCCTGGCTGTGCGTCAAGCGTTACAAAGTCAGTTGCCAAAATTAAAGGATAACAATTCAGACGGTGTCACGATTAAACAATGCCTGGAAGAAAAAGATAATAAATGAATTAGAAAAGCGACAAAACTTCCACTGTTTCAGCAGAATTTTCACTCTACTAGCGTCAGTATTTAAGTTTCGCAGTGTGCCATGGTATGATATGAAGTTTAAGTAATGGTTTACGTTTTACACTTGCATGCAGTTATGTGTATTTTATAAATTTACAGAGGGAAATATAATTGCTGGCGAGCATTAGCGAGCCAGTACACTACTTTTAAGGGTTAGTGGCGTTACATGACACCCTAGGGCTAAAAATGTTCGAATTTTGTGTGTCAGAGGTGGGGCATGAACCACTTGACCTTGTTTATTATGTGACGTCTCAATCAATAATTCGGTTCTACCCATTCTACCCACACCGCACGTGTTGCTGATGGTTCAGAGGTTCATATGAGGTGAAAGGTAAGGCTCCTTTCATATAGCCAACATGTTTCTAAAATGTCCGGGGAGGTATATTTATCAAAGTGACGATCACTTTAGTGGTGGATCTCGGACGACGTGCAGTTTTCGTGATTTTGTCTGCCTTCAACATGCGACAGTTGTGGTCAATTCACCAATGGAGGTGTCAAAAAATTGATTGGGTCTTGCTTCACGGAGATGATTTGTTCCTTGAAAACTTCGTCAGAGAATTAATGCTGACAGCAAACAAGTTGTTTGTCAAAGACATAACTACGCAGTTCCCCCCTCCAAGCAACCACTTCTTTCAATTAATTAGGGAGACTACCCTGGCACTCTTGAAGTGCCCAAATTTCTGTGTACCTCTCCAGTATCACAACAACCGCTTTTCCCTCGCCAGGACTCACTTTCAAAATGGAACGTGTGGTACTAGGATTTTATCAGGCACATTGCCGAGAGTCGGAAAGTGAATGGAGCTAAGTCTGTTTCATACCGGGGACTTAGAACCATACTACTTCAACCTCAACGTGTACGGAATGTGGAGCGTTTTATTGTGGATGCGTGGAATAAACTTTAAGCAAAAATGACACAAAGTTAAGTTGACAATCCACGGTCAGTCACTAAAGGCGAGTGCCTCATGTCCAATTGGTGTAAACAGCAGTCTCTAAAAGCTCTTACGTGTGCGCGCCCTCGTTGATCCAACTTCTAGAGGGCTGTGTCCTCTGTATCGTCGTTGGAGTGTCTTCTCGGCTTGATTTCTACGTCTTTGTCCAAGCCAGAGGGCATGCTGGACTCATAAGCGGGGTTTTGGAAGGAGCTCAGAGTCCTTGGTCCACCATTTGCTGAACCAGGTGGAGTGTTCCGTTCGGTTTTGGCGTGTCCATTGGGCTGCTCAAAGGCAACAGCTGGTTGATAAGTACCATTGCTGGCCAGCGACTCGTAGACGCCATTACTTGACCCATTGACCTGTGGGAGCAGAACATAGTATAACATGAATGTTTAGTTCACACATGTGAAGGGAGCCTTACAGCAAGGAGCCAAAAAGTGTGACCGCTCTTGATTAATTCGCATTCTTTCATGCAGATTTTATCCAATCAGAAGCCAGCTGGAAAGTGCCCTCGACGTCTGATTGGTTAATGTCTGCATGAAAGAGTTCGAATTAATTAAAAGAGGTCACACTTTTGGGCTCCTTGCTGTAATAGGTTGTTGCTTTAAATACGATTAACGGTTCAATTAGTTCTATCTAATAAATCAAACAAGAACTCAATTAACGGGGTTATCAGATTGGTTAACCAAAAAGCGACAAGAAGCGTAAACGCATACAAATGCTTGTAATAAAGCAAATTTATGTGATTCGTTTTGCCCAAAGTTTGACCTGAATTGAAGGTCATTGAACAACACGTTAAGTTTAACAGACAAGAAAAAGGAATCCCGGTTTAGGGTGTTAGCCCAACCGGAAAATCAACTCTGCTAACCTGAATCAGTTATGCTGTCGAATCATTAAATGAGGTCAAGAGCCAAAATGGGACCCACTATGGCTCTTCATGAGGTAGAATGTGGGTGGTGTGCCTGTGCAAGTTTAAGAATACTAACCTTAAGGGATTCATAGTGGACGACATTGGTCCCATACGGATTTTCATGATCGGTCTTGCCTGCGTACATACTCTCGTATCTGTCTTCTCTGCCTTCTAATTCATATCCGGCTGTAGATCCCCTGAACAGAAAACACACTGAATCAGTTAAAAGTGTAATTTAAAGACATCGAATATGAAGTTTCTGCAAAACTGTCGCACATAAGAATTCCTAAGCATTGGTATTGGACAAGACAAATCACGAGATTAAATTCCACCACAGTTGTCAGCTGTCACGACTTCTGTATCACCAAAAAATTGAGCCTTAAAGTTTTTGGATGGGGAACTAATCTATTTTGGAATCCAAGTTTTTCTCCTTGTTTAAAATTCGAGTTGGTCTCATCCAAGGATGGGTTAGGATGGTGTCTCCACCCTGAGCAATCCTTAATCAATTACAAGTATAGAACTATAAGTTTATTATTACTGCACGTTGATCAATACAAAAAATGCCGTGGATGAAAATCCACCAGCAATAAATGAGGTACAAAATAAAACATTGCATACAACCACCGTGCTGCTACTAAAGGACACTTTGGTCTCTGAACGCTTGCAGAATACCCGCAGTGAAAAGCCGCGATCACAAACTGTCTATCGTGACGCAACAACAGATGAGGCCTGATCCACCGCTATGCTGTGTTTAATTTTATCAATCTAAAAATATAAGGATTCCTTGTACTCATAATAATCATGTCTCAATGCACAAGGTCGTGAAGGAGGACTTTTGACGAAAGTGTAAGAAGAAAATTGTTTGCGGACCCAAGGGGATCCTAGGTACGAAAGATGCAAAATTTTCGTCGTCTCTTTTAGGGATGTACGTTGAAGAATTTGGTCTCGCTTAGCCTGTTCAGTATGGAGCAGCTATATTGTTTCTCACACAAGCATTCGGAGACTCTCCATCTAGAGGTACTACCGACGAAATCAAAGTCGCGATGATCTTAGATCTTAGAGATTTAAAATAAAGCGACGATCGCATTGCCATTCCGTTCAAGTTTAACATGGTCAGTCAGTGTACGGTGACGGCAGAGAAATCGGCCAAAAAGTCTGCTGAACGTTCAGAGCCTTTTTCTTTTGCGTATTAAACCTGTTGCCTTTCTTATATTCTTGTTTCCGTCGTCATCATCGTAGTTGCTCGAGCTTGCCTTTGCGTTACCTAGCAAAAGAATTCTTGACATGCAACGATCTCGTTGAAAAACCTACGATTAATGGAAAACGCTGGACGAAAACGACGTCCGCAGATACCCTTAGAGATTCAGTATTGGTTAGAGGTGTTTGAAGGAAAAAGAGAAGCAGAAGGTGAGAATTATTAATTGAAAATTATTTCATTCAAATCAAAATCGCTTAAGCCAAATTGACATTAAGTATAGGACCATATCCGCAGCTTTCGATATTGTTTCGAATTCCACTCTAGGTCTGTATGGGACTGTTTTGGGGAACGAATTGTGCGTAAGTTATCTACACAACTTCGCAATAACCCCTGAAAGAAGTGATAGTCTATCCAAAAGAGTCCCATAGTGCAATTCGCAATTAGTGCAGCTTGGACCCAGTCTCGCTCGCAACAACCTCAAAATGCCAGTCAGAATGGTTTCTTTTAGGGGTAAAAAAAATTATCTTTATCGGCCTCGCACTATTTGGAGTCTCCTTTCCTCTCTTCTTTCTCCTCTTCCTGTTAAAAGCCTACCATGCAGGCTCACGGCTTCAGTTTTACAGGCTGAATATTCTAGTTTTTTTTCTGCCCATTTTAGACTGAAAATATGCTTGTATTATTCTTGAATTATAGCCCGTGACATTTCCTTTTTAGAATATATATATATATATATATATATATATATATTGGGGGTATCAATCATAGTCAGTTTTGTTAGTTTTGCCGTTAAGAGATTTGAAAGGAATACGTTAAAAACATATAATTGTATTGTACTTACAGACTTTCAACACACAATTGCATCCTTTTCAAATTTTCAGCCTGGGGTTTATTCTTAAAATCAGTTTCTCAAGGTTTCGCAGATTTCAGCCTCGATATTGTTATGAAATATCTTCTTATAAAAAAGAGTGTGTTTGGTCAACATACCCCGTTCGTTTCAGCTTTTTCATCAGGACAAAGCCTGTAAGGATGCTGATAAGCAGGAACAAGACGCTCATAACAAGAAAAATAACACTGAGATTTAGCAAGGTCTCTGAAACAATAAGAATAGAAAAGGTCATTATATATTAGTAATTTTTTTGTGAAATTTAATCAGATTAATGATAATCATTCAAAGGATTGAATGATTTTCCCCTCGAGAGTTTCCCTGCAAATATAGTCAGGCACTCGTTGTACAGGGACGATGGAGGAAAGGAGAGGCTAGAGGGGGCATTAGAAAAGCCTTACTTTGAAGAAAATCTCCTAACCTTTCCCACTTCAAGTTAGTGTCTAGAACGCCCTCCCCCGCCCATTCTCCTCATGTAGTAAAATGTTCCACTGTCACTGTTGTATTATGCATCGTGGGGCAACGGATTATAGGAGGATTTTCACTTCTCCCCAGCGAATACACAGTAAACACCCGCTAATAAGAACCTGTGGATTAAGAACCTCCCGGCAGAAATTTGCCACTTTGATTACAAGAACCTGTTAAATCAAGAAAGATTCTTATATGTGGATTACAGTTAAATTATGATAAACAACTTAACAAAGCTCAGTGTAACTTTGAGTTGTAAATTTTAAGTACAGTATAACAAGAACATACTGTACTAAATTTTATATAAATTTGGTAATCAGTTTTGTTATGGATGATAATAATACAATTGTGAAAAAAAACGTTTATTTATTTTTCTGGTACATGTAATCAACAATCTATTATCTCCTTCTAAAAAATTAAGAACCAAAGAACCTTCCTAGCCTAAATTACTAATAAGTACCGCAAAATACAAAACCAATCTTGTCAGACCTCATAAAAGACCTACAAGGGTAGGTTCTTATTAGCTCCGTTTACTGTATATAACCACTGCAAATATGACAGTAGTCTGCTTCACCGACCGGTGTTTTCGGAGTTGTCAAGCAATGTGCCTCTGAGCGGATGCTTTGCGTAGCAGACGGTGATCTAATTTGCTTTTGAGCGTTTCGAAGACTTAATAACTCCCATACATGTATAGGACTATAAAAATATATTATGTGAGACCGCTACACCCTCGAGTCCCAATATCCAAACACAAATTCTCCATACTGATCTGCATACATTTCCTTGAAGAACTAGTTAAGAGAATTTGAGAAACGATCGAAGCATTGCTGACTATTCTATTAATTCTTATAACCTTTTCTCTTGATGTTATAGCGAAAATGTTCGGAGATAATGTCGATCTTCAGAAATGGGGTTATGGCTAAAATCTTTTCTCGGCCCAACATCCGGGATTTTTGTCTAAGTATTAAATAATCCTACCTGGAACGTCAAAAACGTTGCTTTTTAGAGTCGACAGGAGGAGAGAAACAGATTAAAAAGTCTAGTTAGAGGAATATGTGATACTTACCGTCTTCTTCCTTTCCTATAAGGTATCCATTTTCAGCTGAAAAGAAGAGCGGAGGTTTTAATGACGCGTTAAATAGTTACAAAATAGGATTGAATTTTTTGAGTCGTCTATTCTATTAATAAGCCTTTGTTCCAATCTTTCATTTGATCTTCATCGTTACTTTTTGAATACTATGTAAATGTATTCAGTATGCCAGCTGATTTAAGACATCACTGTTGACTGAGATTAGAAAACTGAATACTGATCAGTAATTGATCAGTATTCAGTTTTAATTATTATTAGAACATTTGTTAGATCTATAACCCTTACTAAAGTAGTCTTAGTTTGAATGAATAATAATGACTTTTATTATTCATTCAAAATATTTCCCCAATTCTGATTGGCTAAAAGCACACGCATAACTCACCATAACCAGTTACTGATGACCAAATTTCGAAGAATTTTGAGTTCAACGAGGAAATGATGTCAAAAATGCAGTCCGCTACAGGTTAAGGCACCGTTACCGAGAAGACCTGGGGAGGAGGTTGAGTTGTTTTGGTTGTGAAAAAAAATGGCGGACATTTCACTCGTTTCAACTCGGAGTAAGAACTACTGCTGGAACTAGACGAAATAATAGCTCAAAACATGGTAAAAACAGCAACAAGACAACTCGGAGGGAGACGACTGCCATTTGGAGAATATTTGCGGAGCGGGACAAACCTAAACGTACACTATCGAAGATGAACTTAACATCGATGCAGGTAACCATATTTTTGCTCTGTTTTTAAACTAGGAATTATTTTGAATGAATAATAAAACAATTAATTAAATCGGCTTTCGTGGGATATGAAGAATTAAGCAGATCTCGGAGGGTGTTATCCTCCTCGACTTTCGGCCCCGGTGGATAACACCCTCCTCGATCTGCTCAATTCTTCGTATCCTACTCAGCCTCATTCATTAATTGCTAATCATTCTTCTACTACAGTTTTTTTTCCTTAATTTTATCATCATTATTAACCGGAGTAGACCCATCACTATGAGTTCCCAGCCAGCTGACCATGAGTAACCCCAGAGTAACGGGAACACACTGATAGAGAATTAGGGCATTCGTAATACTTTGCAAACAATGAAGTAAAAAAAAAATTTTAACGAAAAAACAAACAAACAAACAAACTCGAAGAGCCGTGCAAAATTGTTTTTAAAAACTAATAAAAAAACTAATCAAGCTGCGAAGCTCATCGATCGAGAGTTTTGATGTAGTCTATAAGGGTATAAAGACCTTTGTTAAAATCCTTGCACCTTTGTTTGCAGGTGACTGGTCTCTCTTGAGTCTTTGAAAGTCATTTCTATGGCCTTAAGAATGTAGACAATTGGAAGGGATGTCTATTTTTTAAGTACTATTATCCGGTGTGATAAAAGCCTGATTTGTATTCCTTGAATATTTTGGTAGTTATACCAGGAGCATGTGATTCAAAATTTTCTTTATTAACCGCTTATAGGCAAGCAAATATTTTCGCTGTCAAAAGATATTGATTTAAAATCTCACGTATGAAACATCTTTAGAAATTGTTGTAATTATCCAACCCAGTTTAGTATTCCGGCGTGCACACTTACGTAACTAAACAAGGAAAAAGATAAGGAAATACTTCGACCAGCTAACTTACTGAAATTCTGTCACGTAGAAATATAAAACCGTTATCATTCAATATTTCTTTTTCCCTATTAGAAGCCTCGGTTAGGACCGACTATGTTGGCTTCAGTGAGTCGGCCGCTGCGTCCAAACATTAAGAAGCTATAATGTCTGACTTGTACTTGTACTTGTAATCGGGCGAATAGTACACAGTTTAGCATTGTAATCATATGGTGTTTGGTTGTAATATCAGAGATGCCTGGTCGTAAGCTGTTTCAGAACTTGTGTGACTGAGAAGTCAGATACTTTTATTGAAATTTTGTTCCTCAGTGCAAAGCTTAAAAACTTTTGCAAGAATTTCTTCATCACAGAGAACCAGTAACCATTGTTTAAGAGACCCCATGAATCGAGCGAATATGTTTCGAATTAAACTTCCTCTCCTTTAGCAAACTGTTGATCAGTTACTGTTTTATTCTAAACTTACCGTTCTGAATATTTTACTGAGGCCTATTAATAACTATATACGGTAAGTATCGCTCGCTTCCCGATCACGTCACAACAAAGGTCTCAAGTGTAAAATGATCGGTATATAACTGGCAAAGTAGCCTATACTTGTTTTTACAAACAATTTGTCGACAACTGAGTCAAAGAGGTAAATAAATAAAAAGCAGGGAAACCTGGAATTACCTGCTAAAATTCCTGCGAAGAATGAGAAGAAAATGGCGACGCAATACGTAATATCCATCGAGTAAATCTTCATACCGTACGAAGGGATGTGTTTCCTTAAAACTGCAACGCGTTGTTTTCTAGAAAAGTGAAGTTAACGAGACAAGTTGTTTTTTTAGAAGGTCAAAACTCAGCCGAAAGTTAAGACGAAACGACCGTCAGTGTCGCAGTACTAGTCAATTCTTCTTCACCAAAAGCAAGGTTTGAACTCAGTAGGGAAATATTGCTCCGACTGCTCTGAATATATTGAAACCCATAAATTTTCCGCTTCATCACTAATAAACAAAAAATAGTTGAGATCCCTAGAGACTAGGAACTGACTAAGGCTTTTTTAATAAAGGTGAAATGAACAAAGTTCAAATAAGTGTGATGCCATGTTGTCATAGTAATAAAATTGCACCCGGCGTAAATATAAATATAGCATGTTTTCAAATGTTTAATGTTGACTCTGCGTTAAATATATCGTAGCTCAGTATTTATTATCGCCACTTCTATATCTCACATTTATAAAGAGAGCGTCCTTTTCATATTCCGTAACGATTCAAAGTTAACAATACTAACGAAAACAACATCGAACTGTAAATTTGAACTAAAGAGAAAATAGATGAAAAACGATGAGATATTACCTAACCGATATTATGAACCACAGATAAGAATACTCAAAGACGACGTTAAACGAGAGTTTTTCCGAGAGCACGAAATTCCATAGATCGTATGGACCGTTATAAATATCAAATGGAATAAGATTTCCATTAAATTAAGTTATTGATTCCTCTTGGCAGGGCAGCAGATTATCCAGATTATTTACTATCTTGGAAGTTTTCAAGTTCAAGGTGGATAGCGCTTAATCCACCGGATAAATCTCTATTCACTGGATAATGCAATTGGTTTCCGTAATACTTATCCTCTGGATAGTGATTCAACCCGCTGTGGATAGCGCTATCCATGTTTTGAACAACTAGAGTCTGTGTGGCTTTTTGTTGTCGTTATTGTTGTAAGTTGTCGTTTTCTTTTTCATGCGCACGCAGCGGGAGGTTTCATAGCAGTCAGGGTCGATTGCACTGTTGGGTCTGCCTTCTCACTCCTTGCACTTTGGTCGCCAACAAATTAAAGGCGAGCGCGAGAGGCGAGTAACGCTTGTGACTGGTGACGAGACAAGAAGGACCACGGCAAAGTGAAAGACAAATTCGTCCGAACAGGAATGCGGGAAAGAGGAAATGTGCCCAAATTTACATCGAGAGAGGTGTCTGGGAACGGCAGCAGTTGAGAGTTTTACTCCGCAGCTTTAAGCTCCTTTTCAAGCGCCAGGAAGACAAAGTAGCGGTGGCACTACTGGTAGCCCCTTACCACAAGCGGCTAAAATTTTCACGCTTCCTGTCAATCCTTCTCTCGGGTGCATTGTTTTTCCCCGACAATCCTTTTTGCCTGCTTTCCATTTTTTATGCGGTACACTTGTCCTTATAAACTCACTTTAGCACCCGTTAATATCTAGGGAGTACTGTACTGGACGCGGTTTTAAGACTTAATCGTCAAAGCATGACTTTCCTTGGGTTCCCGCACAAAGCTTTACGAGGCTTGAAAAGAAACATTTTGATTGATCTATACTTTGTCATTTCTCACATTTTCTAATAATTTTGCTGTTGTAATTTGTTTGTAATTTGTATATGTTTCATCTAACAATGACTTTGTAAGAGAACGGTAACATGTCTTTGGAAATCAAAAATTGCGTACGGTTTCTAAACTCTTACCACGATTTTAGTTCTATAAAATTGGCAAAGCCGGTTAGGGTTTGATTCCCGGTCAAACCTGAATTTTTTTAGGTTTTTTTTTAACCGCTTAGGTTGTTTATTCAACTGCGAGGATCATTTCCACTTTCAAAGAATTTGTATACTTTGTAATCGTGATTAGACAATGATTACAAATTTTTGAAAGTTATTACTAGGAAAATTAATTTCTTCGTTTCAGTTTAATGGTAAGACTTAATGGCTAAATGAATTCGTGGATGATACTATTATGATTATCGTTGCTTCATAGAGCGCGAAATGTATGTAAACTAAAAATCTAAATTCTCTTGATTGTTTTTAGAATCCATAACTAATTAACCTTCAATGTAAATCTGTTTGTTTCATTAACTTTACGGGGTTAAGTCAGCTTCTTCACTCAACTGAGTTTCGAAGTTACATTTGGAACAATTCATTGGACATTAATGTTGAGGTAAAACTTCCTCAATTTTGTGTGTAAAGAACTTGTCTTGGGGCGTGTGTTTAACATTCTTTGAAATACCTTGTGTGAATTTAGCATGAAGAAGCTTTCCTCTGGCTTGGCGTGGCTTGGTTTTTTCATTGGCATTTGGTTTCCTTTTGCTAGTGCAAGTAAGTTCTTAATTATTCTCCAAATTATTGGATCATGATGCTATCTTAAATATTATTCCAGCCTTTTAAGTTACTCACACTCGCAGCTACAACGTAGATTGCGGAAATTTGAACAAGTTTGTTGCATGGTTGTTGGTTTTCATTCCGAATTTATTACGAAACAGCCCACCGGCTCATTTAGATCTTCACGATCTACTATACTATTTGAATTCACGGTGAGGATGAAATCTGAATTATGGGTTTAGGGACCGTCGATATATTCACTTTTCCCCCGCTTAACGTCAACTGGACGTTTAGGGGGGAGGAGGGGGTAAGGCAGTGGACGTTAGTGCGGGGCATTTTTGGACGAAAGCAAACTGATACATTTTTATAAATTTTACGTCATGCGTCGGAAAGGCGCTTGCGACATTATTTAAGAGAAAGCAGGACCAATTGTAAATTTTACATTGCGATCGTTTAAACTCTATATCCTAAATCACTGATAAATTTATACAATACCAAAATTATGGTTAGTTTGTTGATTTTGTAAACACGTTTGAGAACACAACTAGATTATCGTTTGTCAATACATACCTTCAAAAAAAACAGCCGGCGATTCTGGTTTTGATCTCTGAATATGTAATGTAGTAGGAAATCAAAAGCATCGACGGGAAAAAGCAGTTATACAGATTTTGAAAGAGAACAGGTAGAGAACAGGTATGTACACGGGTGAGGACACGGGTAAGTGCATGTCAGTATTCATTCTGGAATGCAGTGACTTTTGGAACAGAAAAATTTCAAGTGGATGCTAAGGAGGGGGGGGTGGGGGGGGGGGGGGGAGTCTGAGCTAAACGTCGGTTGACGTTAAGCCGGGAAAAAGGGAATATGTCAACGGCCCCTTACTCATTCCTGTTCATGCACAAGGTTCGATCGATTTAGTATTTTGAATCCATCCCGGACCATCCAAGGTGATTTATTGCGCTTCCTAATTACATAGTTAATTTTCTACAGTTCTTGAAAATCCATTTTTGAAGCACATAGTATCCCAGTAGATTAAGGACTTCAGAGATTCACTTGAGAATAAAAAAGCACCTTTCCCAGCAGGGCGTAGCCTGCAGGCTGCTTTCATAATACGGTTTGACGTTAGTAATTAATTATTTCATTTACCATTGCTTCAGAAATGGGCAATTCCAGAAAATATCCATACCCAACCACGGACGGCTTCCATGTTTTAACCCCCACTTGCCTTCGGAAATTCCAAAATGCGCTACCTCCCCATGCCCTCAGAATTCCATAGTCGTGAACCCCCCCTCCCCTTCAGAATTTCCGGTTTTTTTTGGAAGTACATTTTCGACTTAGCAACGCCTATAAGAACAAACGAACATGAATTTATGCCTCCTCAAGGCTGTGATCTAGCGGCGCCAGGTGACAAGCTTTACTCTTCAGTGACAAGAAAAACCTACGCTAGTTGCCAGGCCGTGCAAACTCCTTTTAAGTCCGAATTTGGTTATAAAATAAACACCATTTAAAAGGTAATTTTACTCCTCTTTGTCATTATGCTGTTTTGACGTTTACAAAGGAAAATATCTCAAACAGACTGTTAAAATCTTTTGGCGGTCAAATATACCGTCGAGTCGTGTTGCGTCCTTTTTACGTCTAGAACGAACTAATCTGACAGGCGTTTCGATGGGGACTCGTGCGAGTTTTTACTGTTTATCGGACGGAAATTTGCAAGCGGTATTAAAAGACGGTTTTCAGTTTTTATTCACGTGACAAGAAATTCATCAAGGTAAATGTGAAACCAACGTTTTACTGTTCACTTCGATAAGTTATGAGCGTAAACACGTGTCGATCTATCGATGCTTGTCTTCTGCTTCCGCGGTCATACGTTCGTGGTTTATTTACGAACTAAAAAGTCCACAACAATAGCGTTTTCCAGGAAGGGCGTTACACTTTCTACTCCAGAAATCCCACCTGTGGAATTCCCCCATACCTTCGATTTCAAATCGTAACGGTTTGACGTTAGTAATTCCATAATTATTTCATTTACCTTAAATTCCGTGGTATGGTATGGATATTTTCTGGAATCGCCCAATTACCCTTTAAAACTGCTTATCATAGTTAAAGTCATTTTGTTCTTTTCTTGCAGATAAGTACATAATTGACAAGGAAACAGATGGTATGTTCCCAAAAATAATACGTGATGAATGAAGTATTTATAAATGACGCTTAACTTTTAAAATTATTAGCGTGAAATCGAAAAAGGTGACATTGAAACATTTTTACTGAATCGAAGAGGTCGCACATAATAGAAAACGTGAGCATCCGAACTTCTAGAACTCGGAGGGTCGTGACTTCGATTTTCACCTGGAGCTCGGAATTCTTTCCGAGCTTTCAGGTGTCAAATTTCTTCCTTCATCTAAATGTTTTTTTTTTTTGATATTTCTCCATTTCTCATTGGTTGAAATCCCCGGCTAAGCTAATTCTTAATAACCAGCAAGCGTTTAACAAGTTCGGAAGATGCTTAAGCGACATCCAGTAAAATAACGTCAAGACCTACAGGATAAACGCTAGGAAACTCACGGAAGGTAACCGAGAAGGCCTTGGGAAACGGATGCGTTGTTAACTGAAGAGCTGTAGAAAATGGCGGGAAATTTCACATCTTTTGCGAAGACGAAATAGACGAACTGCTGCCAAGAAACAGCAAGAACAGAAAAATTACAACTCCAAGGATGACATCACAGTAGTTTTTAATGGATTTAGAAAAAAAATACTCTCTGAAACTGATGGTACAGGACAGGGTCCAACGGAAGTCTATCAACAATCATTGAAGTACAGAGGTTTAGTCCGGGGGTTTAGTTATCAGATGAAAATTATGAAATATGATCATCTTAAAGAATTTCTTAGTGTCTGAAAACTTCGCCCTATCATTACTAATAAATGGAAAGAATCTCTCCTTCAGTTTCGGGAGCTAAATGATAAACTCTTGATCCTCGCTTCCTTTATTTGGCTCAGAAATGCCCTCCGTGTGTTTTTTCCAAATTCTTGGTTGAATTATTATTAATATTTCCCTTTCTTTTCCTTTCTCAGCTATCATTCTTGATCTTGCCGTCGTCTTTTTTGTGTTGTGCTTAATTTTTTTAATCTTGGTTTTTTACTCGGACTTGCCCTTTACAAATCAAGAAAAGAACGAGGCTTGTAAGTAAAGTAGTTATTTTTTTTACTTACATGACCAGCGGCTATGTTAGCTTAGTGGAGCTAAAGGAAGTATTCACTTAGGTCTGTTGAAGAGAGTATAGAGTACTAAAGTGATGACGTCATAAAAATGAAAGTTCTGAAATTATAGGATTTGTCAGGATATTCTGAAACAACAATGTCCAAGAGGCCTACTTGCCAAAAATGAGCATTTCTTGGCAAATTGTCTCAGAGGTGTTAGCCGGTTATAATCGTAGCCCAATTATGCTTACAAAACTCCATACAAACCCTTCTAATTTTTTGGGGGGGTCAATTTGCCCCGAAATGCTCATTTTTGGCAAGTAGGCCTCTTGGACATTGTTCTTTCAGAATATCCTGAGAAATCCCATAATTTCAGAACTTTCATTTTTAGGACGTCACACTTTAGTACTCTATTCGCATAAAATCTTACTATTGTCGCCCCTGGGGCACAAAAATGGCTTTAAGGGGCAAAAAAGGTGTATTATCATTCATTCAAAATATTTCTCCGTTTCTCATTGGCTAAAATCACACGCACAATTCATCATAACCAGCTACTGTTGACCATATTTGGAACCGATAACGTCAAAACTGCAACAAAGTTGCAGATTATTGCAGATCGAGGAGGGAGTTATCAACCTCGGCCTTCGACCTCGGTGGATAACACCCTTCGAGATCTCCATAATTCTTTTTATCATATAAACACCAATGAAATACCAGGTGAGCTTTCGCGCGAAAACTTAATATCTTCACATGTGAAAGTATGACCGTTGCTATGGCTACAAAATAAATCGCACCTTTCACACCAAAAAACTATTAAATTGAAATGGTTTGGTAATTCATTGGTGTTTATATAATAAATATAACATTACCTGGCCACTTGGAGATACGAAATTTCTCTTCTCCTGTTGAACAAATATTTCACTCGTTCGCGCATATTTTTCAACACTCGAAGAGAAATTTCGTATCTCGGCGCGACCATGTAATATCCTCTATATATCCGTATCCTATGAAGTCCGAATTCAATAATTGCTAATTATAGGAAATGTGAAAAAGTTGAATAGACCGTTTCCGCATTCCTATGAACAAAACATCGACTCGAGGCATGGGCTGACAGAGCACAGTGATTTGTATGAAACTGTATAAACGCTATCGCCATATATGCAAAAATCGAAAGTACGGTTTCATTTTTTTGAATATTAGTATTTTTACTATCTCTAATTTCAGGAACTCGTATAAAGGGTACACAGTCTCGTACCGAGATAGTGAACCCTTGAAAGGTGAGAGCATTTCCAGTCCTTTTTACGGGCACGGAATTTACTCCTACCGTCCTGAAGGTTCTATCTACCTACCTGGACGCATTAGCCACACAGGAGGCAAGAATGACGAGGTAAATACAGCAAACTTTAAAACTCAATTTTGTCATTGAGGTCATGATGCTAAGACACAAGTAGCAAACACGTAAATAAACAAACAAATAAGAAAACAACCAGACACGGTAGTCCCAAGACATGACACACCGTAGTTAGGGCCGGGGAGGGGAACGTCTTATAATGACCTATATGGCTCCAAAAGGGGGGCCTTCAGGTATATGAAAGGGTGGGAAGTCCAACAGTTGAAGTATGAAGAAGGGTAGGGAAATCTGTCATTTCGGTCTTACTTCGTACTCCAGGAGAGGGTACTCCCTATATTATGGCCTATACGGGAAGGCTCCGCCCGGAAGGGGGACCTTTTTCAGGCTCCAGGTACATGAAAGGGTAGCGAGTCCAACAGTTGAAGTATGTGGAAGGGTGGGGACATCTGTCATTTCAGTCATACTTAGTTCCCGGGGGGGAGGGTACTCCCTACATTATGGTCTAAACGGGGAGGCTCCGCCCGGAAAGGGGGACCTTTTTTAGGTGTCAGGTACGTGAAAGGGTGGGGAGTCCAACGGTTGAAGTATGTGGAAGGATAGGGACATCTGTCATTTCAGTAATAGTTAGTACCCCAGGGGAGGGTACTCCCTACGTTATGGTCTAAACGGGGAAACTCCGCCCGGAAAGGAGGATCTTCTATAGGCGTCAGGTACGTGAAAGGGTGGGAAGACCAACAGTTGAAGTCTGTGGAAGGGTAGGGCGAGAAAAGGTTCTGGTTTTGTGGTTTATTCAAATTTTAAATATAGTGCCTTTATAGTAGTTAAAAGGGATGCAATTTTAAACTAAGCATGTGAAACGGATAACTTTTGTCAATAGAAGCTCTACGAAAGGGGTACCTTTTCTGTCACAAACGGTATATAAATGGGTAAGGGGTTGGACCTTCGGGCGGAACCCCCCGTATAAAACTTTATTGAGTACCCCCCGGGTAGTTAGGTCGTGTTCTATCAGGTCTTTTCAGCAGCCGTTCTTGTTTCGTCAGTCATCACGCAAGCAGGGGGGGGGGAGCGTCACAAGACGTAATATGCCTTTTTCGAGTTTCAAAAACTCTCACTTTCAAAACCAGGCTAACTGCAAAACCTTTCTTGTGAAAATGAATTTTATTTGCATGAAAATAAAAAGTCATTGTCGTATCAATGGCTTCGCACTTAGCCTCGCTTTGAAACAGAGGCTTGGGGCAACGCGCAAATGGTCTATTGGCACTTGGGGCCGAAACAGATCTTTTTTATCAATCATTTACACTTGTGTAAAGTGTCTTATTGCCCTGAGTATTTGTCCCTTTACATAATATATTTATCATAGGAGCATGCCTATGAGAACAACGGCGTGGTTTTCAATGAAAGCGAAACGAAGAGAGACTCGCCCCCGCCAGAGAAAGGACAAGAGGATGAGAAAGTCAGAGAGAAAACCAGAAAGGAAAATCCAATATTTGAAAACCCTGCATTCGAAATCCCTGGGTACGAAATATTAGTTAGGTTTGACGACGATGACTTGGACAGCCATGACTACCAGATGTTGGACGCAATGGTTGCCGGGAAGGAAACATCAGCGACGATTTAGTGGTGATCATTCACCTCGTAACTGCAATTTTGACAAAACGGCGCGGACAGAAAGTTTCAATCTGTCACTCTTTTCATAGTTTAGAATTTTCAAATTAGCATTGCAGAAACGTTGTAGTTGTTCACGATTCTGATGTCAAGCTTGGATAGTAGTCATGTTACTAAGTACCATGTTTTTGAAAGTTCATTGTCAGTGCTTATTTCTCTCCTATCAGAGAATTGGATTGAACTTCTAGCGTGCCAAGCATCAGCTTTGTGCAGTGTCAGTTAATTTTTTTTAAAAAAAGCATCACAAATCAACAGTGTTTTAGAAATATCTTCAATACGATATTTTAATTTGGTAAATTTCTGCATTATGGCCTTTCCCGAATGTATTCGGTAACTAAGTCTTCATGCAAAAAGGCAATTTTATCCCCAAAACAGTGAGATATATTAACTCAGCTTGTGATTATTCAAACAAGCGAATGAATTTGTTTACTCTTGACATGAATGTTCACTAGGTAGTTGATACAAAGGCTTTTTATTGTGTTTATATGCTTTTAATTAAAAGAGAATAGCTTTTAGTTTTGTCTGATTTCTATTCTTTATTATTACTCGTGGATTATGGTGCGTCGCCTTAGGGAATTACGCACCTAACTGGGTTGCACGGATTAGTCAATACTTTCCTAGGTTTTGATGTACGAAACATTATATTAGAAAAGAAAGAGATTAGTCTACGAAATATTCAAGAAAGAAAAGATTTCACCCTGGCTTGTAGTTTTTTTTTTAAATTAAGTATTTAACTGGGCTTGCACAATTTATTATAAACCGACAACCTCTTCTCTCGTTACGAACATGCATAAAAAAGTTGCCCACGCATTCACAGAACACTCAGCGAATAGACGCAATTAGACGACAAATGTTCAAAGAGCTAAAAAATGCTACTAAAGGGGAAAAATGTTACTCTCGCCCCAAAACTGTAAAAGTTAGCGATGCACATATATACCACAGGCGGCCCAAACTCACGTTCCGAGGGAAGAGTGTAATGTAATTTACATACCATAGGTGACGCGCCGGTGTCGCGCTACAAGTCAACTAGGCTCTAGCACTGTGAAAAAGTGAGTCCTTCGTTCTAAATAGACACCAAAACGCAATGGAATACATTGCAGGTAAGTCTTTTTTATTCATTTCATTTAAGAAAAAGTAAGGTTTAGCGTTATTAGCGTTCGCAGATCTCAGTAGTATATTTCTCATACAAAGTCTCTCATATTTTCAACGGTCGCGCGACACCGGCTCGTCACCTATGGTATGTAATTTACATTACGTGAGTTTGGGCCGCCTGTGATATATACATCAAAGAATTACTCAATTCTGATTGGCTAGAGGAGGAATATAGTTCTCTTGTAACACATTGCGGTTTTGTAACACGAGTGCAACTACAAGGGGTTGTTGAAAACACCCACACACGCCCCCCCTCCCCCAAAAAAAGACAACAACAACCATAAAGAAACAGGTTAAAGTTAGTGAAAGAATGAAAGATGGTAACATTAGTGACATGCTGAGTAATTCATTTTCACATGTTATAGTTGTTTCTATAGCAAAATATTGGCGGAAATTTGACGGGGGTTTTCAGCTGACAGCAATTTAGTTTTGCAAGTGAAACAACAAAATAACAGTTAGGGAATCGTTTCAAAAACAGTTAAGAATAAGCTTACGTCCGAATGTGGAAAAGGTGACGTGAAAAGAAAAATATAATTACCATTATTTCCTCCCAGTTGCACTGGAAATCATGCATAGATTTTTCCAGTCTCTAATTGGCTGCTCGAGATCCGTGGAGCGGGCGGCCCATGGACCCCAGACACGTCAAATGGCTGTTTTCGACCACAGCCAATGCGAAAATTCTGTTCGCTGTGGCCGCTGCCGCAGCCACGCGCCTGAGCCGTCGATTTTTTTTCCGCCATTGTGTACTGTTTTGACCCAGAGGAAATCATCATCGGCAAATTCGTTTTCGACATGTCCGCAGCTGCTATACTACTCGATGCTCGATTAGTACAGAGAATCTAAAATGAGTAGACTTTTTTGCGCTTATGACCGAAGGGCAAGCGACGCGGGCCCAGACGCACGAGCTCAAAAAATAGTCTACATATTTTAATTCCCTCTATACTACTCCAACTGGGTAGACTCCCTTTTAGACGGAAAGACCTATTTATGACCTATACGAAATAAACCGTAAATTGAACGCAGGCAAAGATTTTTGTGAATACAATCACGCCTTATAAAACATTGAATTTCATGGACTGATCATGCGAGCTAATCTCAAAGGGATGGGGTGGTAGGTAGGGGGGAGGTTCAATGGCGCAGACGTATAAGCAATAATTCTTTTCCAAACCTATATATTACTGTGATCGAATTTGAGTTTTAATTTTCTCTTCTTGTTTTGAAATCAGTTAAGTGTTAATTTTCTGGATTTCTTTACAATGGGTTGAAGCTTAATTATTTTAATTTTTATTGTTTTAAGTAAATTTAAAGTATATAAATGGACGCTTCGCTTTGAGCCATGGTGAATCTATATATTTTCTATATGCCTAAAGCCCGGGAAAGCATTACAATTTGGATAAAACGCGCGTGAAATTATTCCTTTTTCCCTCGTCACTATTTGATTACACATACTAGTTCCATTGACAAGAATAACGAAAAGGCCTAATTATGGACAAGATTAATCAGCATATTCTTAGCGAAAAGTCTTGTCCATAACACGTGCCGACCAGGAAGACTCGCGATATCCTAATCTCGCTCTGTTCTTTCTGAAGCATTGAATGAAAAAACAAAGACTGTCTGCGACAGTTAATCACGTACGGCTCAATTTCTTCTCTAAATGGTCAAGCTAAATGGTCAAATGGTCAAACAGTGTACAGATCGAGAGGAATTTAATTTTTGACTGACTACTTTCCAAATCTCAGAACGTTTCTGATTTCCCTGACCTAGTTAGTAACACACAATTCAAGGTGGGATTCAGTGAAGAAAGGTAAATTCCACAATTTTTTAATAATAAATTCTTTTGTTTATTCTTAATCTCCTAGAGGCACCAGGCTCGCCAAACGCCACAGTGATAGCCTGCGAACAGCAGACGTTTCTCCTAGCTCATCGCCTCTGAGTGACGTTTAGCGAGGAGAAACGTCTGCGACTCACCGACAGAAATTCCATACTGATGACGCAAAATATGTCCGGAATCCTGAGAAGCGCTGATTGGTCGACGGAGTAGTTTCATTATTTTAGCCATTGTTTACGAATGACAGACAGAAGACAAAAGGCTGCAAAGGTCAAATGTAAACGCGATGAATCTATAACAATATGCGAATGGAGCTCATTCGCAGATGAACACAACACTTTACCAAAATCGACCAGTAGAAACGTAAATTTGAACAAATTTGCATTTGGAACCCCATGACTACCGGCTTTATTACGTAAGCATTGATTTACGTCATCAGTATATGGAATTTCAGCCGCTGAATCGCCGACGTTCCTCCTCGCGAAACTTCCCTCAGCGGCGAAGAGCGAGGAGAAACGTCTGCCGTTGCAGGCTACACAGTGATCGTTCAGGCATAACCAGTTGATATATAATAGCGGGAGTCTTGTTACTGCATATAGATTGTTATAACTGTGGAGAAACAGAAACACGAAAGTATGAAATGTGAATATTACTGAGATTACAGAAATTACGTGTTTGAAGGAAATGCCAATGAAAAGAAAATGTCAACCAAGATTGGAATTGTATGGTAGGGACCGAATTATCCTTTTTTCGAGGGGGAATCTCATTAATTTGAGGGGGAATACATTAATGCCGATGACATCATTGCCTTTTGTCCTTATCTCATGAATAAAATGCTTAGGAATCTCATTTAGATAAGGTCATGTGCTATTTTTAGGTGGTTTAACCGGTTTGACAAGTTTCTGCTATTTTTAGATTGATGATGTCATAGCTTATTTTTAATCATATGTCATATTCATGTGGGTATGATGTCATAGTCTATTTGTATGGTTATATCCTCATTTTGGTATGATGTCATTTGTTATTTGTCTGCGTCGTATCCTTATTTGGGTATGATACTGGTAGGAAATTATGTAGTTTCATTGCAATTTTAAATTTTAGAAGTAAAAAACATGCATAATTACCTTACTTATATATCTTGAAGTACTTGCAAATAACCACTGGCTTCATTTAGTTCATTGACAGTCGCATTACAGATATAATACCCTTCATCGTCAGCAGAGACGTTTGTGATGGTGAGCTCAGAGGATCCAGTGCCAGATGAAGAGATGGAATAGTGAGCATCACTGAAAATTTTCTCTGTCTTCCCTCCTTTCATGATCATCCAAGTGAAGTTTTGACTTGGGACAGCCATGGCATTACACGTGAAGGTTGTAGAGTCTCCAATGGCAGAAAAATTGAATCTGGACACTCAGCGAAGCTACTCCTAAATTTCAAAATATATACAGTACGGTTGCAATAGAAACAGACACGCCCAATCATCTTAAAGCTAACTCGGCTAAGGACGGCGTTACCTGGCAAAATAGGGACTTTAAGATCCAACGACGCGACGATAACGAAACGAGAACTACAAAAAACAATAGTTTTAATGAGCAAATCAACAACTTCGCACTTGCATGAAACTTTTTTGTACATTTCCTGGCAGTTTTTGTACGACTACGACGTGAAAATGACTAATTTCGCGTTTTATGAAGAACGTAACCAAGCATCGGCGAAATTTTATTTTTCTTTCTATAATAACTTGGATATGGTGCCTTGGAATTCGACTTCAAGACGGTTCGTCTACTTTTGACAAAGTGAGTGGGTGGAAATAATCGCGACAAAGACTGAAAAAACACTAATTCACATTTTAAGCGACGCTGTCGTTGCCGTTGCGCTGTTGCATCTTAAAGTCCATAATAAAAAGAGACCGAAACCACAGAATAACTTCGATAAATTTTCCAGAAGGACTCCCCCGAGACTGACTGACACGA